CGAAGTGTAACCAAACATCCACCATAGGTTGTAACCGTCACGTGCGCCACGTCGCTTATCATAAGAGGATATTGATGCACATCTAATTACATTGCACACACTAAGAGATGAAATTGATATGCTAAGTTTTATTATAATTCAGTAGTTCAGGGAACCATACCGTCGTATACGAGTAGGATTTGATTCGTTGGGTGGCACGCATTCCAGCGGCCTCTCGTTGTGATCAAATATCTGCGGCATGAAAGCTGTGTGACCTCGTTGCGATCGAAGGCATGAATCATGATGGCTACCGAGGTCAAGTGAGACGCGTCTGCAAGTTTGTGGAGGCGCTGTTGTCATTCTGGGTAATCTGCGAAGAGAAGGTAGTCAAGATATAGACTATAATAGGTCACAAGTATTCCTATTCTACAGAGCTAGGGACTGTGGAACGAGATGCAAGGACGATCAATGCATACCTGAGGATCGACGACGGAAGGATGCAAGGGACTGCGAATATCACCAGGTATCGCCGGCGTAACCCGCGGTGTAGGTGCTAGTGAAATTAAGTATACTAACGGCGTATTGAGTCCATGTTCGGTCATCGGGGATGGTACATCTAAGGAAAGTAAAATTAGCCCAGGACCAACATGTGAGAATGGCCATGATCATCATGAAGCGGACAGTCCGTAGTTACCAGTAACACTAGTAGTCACGGTATTACGCATGACGGGATTGACATGATTATAACTGCTAATTCCTGCACTTCTGATGACAGCGGAGCTGTGCTATAAACCATCTGTTAGTCAACGGGATGTACATACATAGATGACATGTCAAGACGTACCCCATGGAGGTGGAATAAAGGGTCAGTCTGTTGTCAATCAAGGGCATACATATAGGGATAACCGATTATGAAAAGGACTCACAGGGCGACCTGGGGGATTATCAGGGTTCCAATATCTTCGTCCCACGGAAGAGTGTATACTGAGTCATTAGGTACCAGATCCGAAGCTATCATATCACAACTCAGTAACTGCAGCCAAACTGGGACACTAGTGGAAGTGTTCTGGACACCGTTGATGCGGAAGTTGTTCTCATTTTTCAGATTAGGCTTGGCGCCTGCGCCTCTTCCTTGAGCAAAATAGGCGGAGATCGGGACACGTTACCCATGAGGTCGTAAGGCTAGGGCTTTCTTGGCCTGCATTGCTTGTCTGTAAAAACATCATACTTGCACTCTTGTTCATACCATGACAGTCAAAATTAACTGCATCTCGTAGACCGAAAGAGGTGTCAGCTTCATGTTGAAGTCGCAACGGACGTGATTTACCTGCACACCAAGTTCATGTAAAACCCGGACAGAGTGTAATGATAGCGGGTTGGAGGTTGAGAAGCACAAAGGTGCCGCTAGATAGGATTACTATCCAACGGAGTTCACCCTGGCAACACCCGGCACGAATGTGGAGTATCGGCATCGAAGGAGAGGCTAGAAGGGCAAGATCACATCAGAATAAAGAATGACAACGAGCACAGCAAGCTTCGAGATACAGCGCCATGCTGCACTGCCTACAAACATACAGAAGAGTCGGCAACATCCGAGTTCGAAATCTGCTGGAAGAAATGCACAGCACTTAAGCTGTGAAGCGAACGAGGATGTCCGATGGAATACGCACCGCAATACATGACTTAAAAGAATGGATGCCATATTCCAGACTCCAAACCAAACGTCCACTTTTTCAGTTTACAGGCGAGTGTAGTGTTACATATCTGTTTCTGAGTTGGTCTAAACAAGTGCTTCTCGTGAGTGATACTCTGTGCTGTACAGTTGACCATCTGCTTACCAGCGATTTGGATATCATTTTGCGAATTCTCAAATTAGGTACTTGGACTGCATACATAACCCCGAAGGCATCCTGCGCATCAGGACTGAATTAATCCTGTAAGCATTTTCGTCAGATTTGATTGAATGATAGGTCCATCAACTCACCAGCCATCTCTGCCATTATCAGACAACTGTTGCTCGTACAATTTGTCCACCATCTGCTGTAGTTAAGGCTCGACCATGTCATCCTCAACCAGTAAAGCGCCAGCAATCACACCACGCCAGACGATGCTAGGCCATGCCAGCCAAATACTCGATATCGTGCACTTGCCTGGCGGACGACGCGTTGTCGTATGTTCAGCAGATGGCTCACTCCAACTATGGGACCTGGAGAGCGACGCACAAATTGGCGACGCCTGGCGAGATGAGGGGCACAAGGCAGACGTGAAAAATATAGCGTTGTCTCCCAACGGTAAGACCATTGCAAGCGGAAGCAATGGCGGGGTGGTGAGGTTGTGGGACGTGAAGACGGGCAAGGTAATTGCGAGATGGATAGGTCACACTGAGAATGTGGGGTCAGTGTGCTGGAGCGGAGATGGCGGGCGAGTCGTGAGTGGATCATGGGACGGAACAGCAAGGGTATGGGATGTCAAAACTGGCAGAACCGTCCTGGAAATCAAGAACAGTCATCAGTACGTGTGGGCGGTAACATACTCACCCGACAACACAAAATTTGCGACAGGCGGAGAAAATGAGAACGCTGTAAAAATCTGGGATGCCAAGACGGGCGAGCTACTCAGCACACTCCATCAGGATCAATCAGTTCGAAGCTTAGCTTGGACATCAGATGGAAAGAAGCTTTTCTCCGGGTCATTGGGCCCCATTGGGATATTTGACACGGTCACTTGGGAGCAAATTGCCGTTCTCAAGGGTCACATTTTCAACCTGTCCTTGGCTCGGAACAACCACTTTCTTGCAAGTACATCAATATGGGACGAAGCAGTATGTTTGTGGAACCTCAACACAAACCTCCCAGTGTGTCCACCCTTCCAGCACGACAAGGACGTGAGCTGTCTGGCCTTTTCCGCTGATGGAAAGATACTAGTCACTGCTTGCGAGGACAAAAAAGTGTACCTATGGGATATCTATGCCATTCTCAAAGAAGTTGGCCTCGAAGATCTGTTGTCCATTCCTGATGTAAGTTTAATTCGTCGGTAAAGAGTCAAGACCACTCTAACTGACTCGCAGGTCATACCCGGAAAGTCGTTAATAAACGTACGTGACGTGTTTCTTATTCGTTTCATTCATTTTACACAAGTTCGTTATGCCAGGATGATGCCACACGTCCAGCTCAGTCCAGGAATGCTGGTCAAGTACCACTAGGGTTTTTCGATGGCATGCAAGGCAACATTCATGTGCGTCATCGACATTTTTTGAATCACTTCGTGTTCTGATCTCTTGTTCCCAGTCCTCTGTATCGCGTAGTGCCCATCAACCTTCCTCTGCTCGTCGCCCCCATCCCGCTATCGCACCATCATCTATGGGGACTTCACGCGCGCTCCTCGGCCACCTTCCATCACTCTTTCATCGCTCTCACTCTCCCACTGGCGAAGTAATCGGAGTCCAGCAACATTCAAGAATAGCTATATTCTCTAGTCGCGGTCCTGATGCCGTCAAAGTTGCTGCAGTACGGGACAAACAGGTATCTTTGGGCAAATTTTTAACCGCTGGGATTTGATCATTCTTTTGCAGGCACTGTATGTTTCTCCGCGACCAGAACATGAAAAGGCGAAATACATGCTGCAACTGCGAAGCCAATCACAAGGCCAGGCACAGGCGCCGTCATCCCAGACTCAGCCCACCGATTCATCAACGCCCACAACACCTCTTACTACTAGTCCTACGACACCAGGGGCAGCAAGCGCACGGTCACGACCCATCCCGTTGTGGGCCCGTCTCGTACTTTTTCTCTGTTGTGCATCTCCCCCACATGCCGATGGTCATTAATACTTCAGCATGTGAACACCTATTTTTCATCTTTGCTTCTGGTTCGTATGTACTCTTCTCTCGTTCTCCATGTCTTTCACTCGTGTTTTCTCATTATTGACTATCCTACGACTGCACCAAGTAGCGGGGTCGCTGGACGGAGCCTGACAATGTGTCTAGTCCGTTACAATACTCAACGAATAGGCTGGCAAGAGCATTCTTAGTCCTAATCCAGAATTTTACCAACCTTCAATTTGACTGGGCCACCGTTTTGGCTTGTGTCTTTCTGAACCCTCCTGGCACAAGACAGTCAACAGTGCCCGTCCTGATGACGACCCTCGAGTCTTGGACTGAAGAGTAAAATAAAATTATTGAGTACAATAAAATGAAGTGATACTAGGCTTTATGAAAAAGCAACATCGTCTCCGGAAGTCGTAAAATGTTCTTTCTTCACCTATTCCCATTTTGAGGAAAGGAATCAGGGTAATGTATTCTGCTCGCAGCTCATCTGCCATCTCCACCTCACTGCCGAACATCAGGCTCTCCAGGGGACACTTTGACCGTTCCAATAATGCCTTCAACTCATAATGAATCTGCATTACGTCACTGCAAGCGAAATCACTGCGAACTTCAAGGAAGTGCAAATTTGGCAGTGATAGAACCTTGAGCAGTCGACTTAAAGGCCCGCTGTACAGTTCGCGCCCAAGATTTATATGACAGATTCGTAAGGATTGAAGTCTGGAGTGTGTGAGTGCCTCTGGGACTGTCCTTTGATCGAGGAATACGCCGCGTATTGTCAACGTGGAGAGGTTGGGACATAGTTGGAGCAGTTCGATGACTGAATACATTTCAGATATTGCGCCAACCCCGACATGTGTTAGTCGGTCCCACATGGAACCTAAATAATTGCGCTGGTATTCGCTGAACGTCGGCAGTATAGCCGTGAACCTGCGCATTGTTGACGGAAGTTGCAGTACAGAAGCTGGTGCAACATGAACATTGAAGAATACGGTCAGCTTCTCAAGTGCTGGGAGGTCTGTTAAGAAAAGTTCAGGTTTGTCAGCGGCGGAGTAGAAAAATATAGAGAAAGATGATATCTGATTCATGTAAGGATAAAGGAAGCGCCGTAGTGCGGTTAAATGATTGTACTTGTAGCACTTGACTACTAACGATAGCGAAAGTCCCCGTGACCACTTGAGCCATGAGTCATAGCAGGAAGCCGCCCGTTGCCAATCTGTATCATCGACCACCACGTGCAACCTGCACCATAGACTGGGTGTGCTTGTTGCAACCTCCCTCCATCGTCGGCATACTCCGATCAACAGCATTCGAGCTTTGAGCCTCGATGGAGGTGAAAAGTAACTGGCTTTTGGATCAGTGTCCGGGAGACAGTGGTGGAAATTTTCAGAGAGGAGTGTATTTGGAAAGCGCCACAAAGGTGATAGGAGCCCTTTGTGAAGATTCATCGACTGGGTGATCTTGTCCTTCTTTTCAACGAGTTGCTGATGAATATTTTTCATTCCATCTGTTACGGTTCCCAGGTCTGAGATCTCGTGCAAAACTGCGTCCAACTGCTGCTGGGGCTGGGCGATGACGCTCTGGCCCTCAAGGTCGATGGTAGAGTGGTCGATTTTTGGTATGGAGTTTCAAGGTTCGGAATCTTGTCATCTTCGTTAACATAACGTTCGTGACATTAGAATAGTAGACATACGATCACTTGTGAACGTACCAGCTGAAGCGAGCAATTATTATCAGACGTGATCAGTTATAAAACTGGGCACTTGCGATGTTTTGCATCGAATCGGCGACATCTGGGAACGGGGGAATATCGACTTTTGAATTATCTGTCTGCATGTTGCTAACAAGCTGAAATATTGAAGGAAGATGTCGGTGATGAGCCATCAACAAGATCAAGATGACTTACGTAACACCCTGGTACCGGAGATCCCGAAAACGTGATCTTTGGCTCATTAATGGCACTCATCACCATCTCAGGTTACCCCTCCTCTGGAAAATCAACCCGTGCAGCCCAAGTCCACGACTTCCTCTCATCAGCTTCGAGCCCTCAGCTCAAAGTAAAAGTCATCTCAGACGATGATTTGGCCGTTGACCGCGCATCATATGACGGTATTGTCCCCAGCTTCTTCTGTCCTGTAGACTGACTCCCCGACTGTCAATCAGACTCCCTTCAAGAAAAGACTGCTCGCGCGGCTCTCTTCACCGCTATCACAAGACACATTGCCAGAGACACGATCCTCATCGTAGACGGGATGAACTATATCAAGGGGTTTAGATACCAGTTATATTGCAAGGCCCGGGAGGCTGGCATAAGGGTTGCTACGGTGTGTAATAGATCACGATATTCTCACTTGCACAACTGACACAATTGAGAAAAGTAGGTCTATGTCCTCGCTACGCCTGATCAATGTCGGAAGTGGAACGATGAACGAGGAGATGGGAAGAGATATAAACCCCAAACGTCCGTCTTTCCCCTCTCCATTTTCCCCCACCCCATTCTAACTTCGAAATACACCCAACAGCCTAGACGCCCTCATCCAGCGCTTCGAAGAGCCCTCGTCCATGGTTCGCTGGGACGCCCCACTCTTCACCATCCCCTGGGATGACCCAACTCCCCCACTCGAACGCATATCAGACGCAGTCACAACTGGCATCGTCAAACCTCCAAACGTCGGCACTCAAATAACACCCAAAGCACCCACAGACGCCCTCCGCACTCTGGAGCATACGACAAATGCACTGGTTTCTTCGCTCATGGCTGCTCAGGCTGCTGCCCCGCTTGGAGGACCTATCGTCCTCACCATCAATGCGCTCGAACCTGGTTCGAATACAAGTGCCAATGAGAGCCCTGTTCTCCGCGTCCGCTTAACACTTCCGTATCGTGCACTGACGTTGTCAGAGCTGCAGCGGCTCAAACGCCAATTTGTGGCTGCGCGCCGGAAAGCTGTGACATTGGGGAGTACGGAAAAGGGGAGGGTGGAGTGGGGAGAGGAAGGTGTGGGACGTGCGTTTGCAGAGTTTTTGGAGGAGGGGTTGGGTGTTGCGAGGTGACTTGCACGTCAAGTGTTCAAAACAAGAGCCTCGGATTTATAATCCCAGGAGTAATATAACGCAGGACTTGTGATATGTGGTACGCACATCAAACATCAAACGATTAACCCAGGTGAACACAATCTCTCATGGAGTCTCACTTTTTCGTAGAGTTTCATAGAGGAATCGCAGCATTTAATCATTCGAATGATTATTATCAGGAAGTCTTCTCCTTGGTGCTGCGCAGGACCATTCTTTACCTAGGGGTCAATATTGTGCTATGAGAATATGGAGAAGTCATGTTTCTCGTTCACCTCTCACCATATAGAGCTTGAACCCAAAGCACTACCGGGTTTGTTTCGTGGTCTCTTGTCTCATATCGGACACTCTGATCTTTGATTCCAAAAACACGACCCCGATAGTATACGTTTGTGACGTGGTCTTTGATTTTTGTGACAATCATGCTCGTGGTGGGTGAACAGCAAATCCGGGCAACTGTCTTTTCCTATGCGGGAGGAATAACATCTTCGAGTACGCCGCTTTGTTACTCTATGAACTGGGTCAGTCGTCTTGTCTCTTAAGAAGATTTTCGAACTCATGGATGATCTAGTTCTCTAGTGCTTGATGTTGTACATCAGACTCAGTAAGTACAGCAATGTCGTTTGACCACTCCAAGAAACTTTTTTCAACGACTGAGTGATATATGTAATGTGTATCGGGGGTAAGATCACTCTGTTCGCCCAAGCTAGCCCGCGTGCTGACTTCCTACTACCTACTTATCAAGTCGTGTCCCCGTTCGGTATAATTTTTACCATGGTTCCTCCGGTGCGTTGCAGTACACCTGGCCAGCCATCCATGTGCTTATCGTTGAATATCGATCACGAGGACTTCTATCGCATACCGGAGAAGGACATACATCCCTGTCCCGCATTGCAAGTACTTCGACAACACGAGGACGCATTGTGCGTTGCGAGAGTTCGATTTCTTCGCCGGCGCGAGGTCGAAAGCGGAAGAGTGAGGACAAGAGATCAATGAGTGCATCTGGACGTGAACTCAAAGACGTTGTGGAATGAGGTTCGGCTCCTTCGTTGTGTGATGAGCGGGGCAAAAGTGAGGACAGGCGAGCGAAGAGAGCGTGTAGATCTAACCCTGAAGGTGTGGAGGGTTGCTGAGGTTCGTTTGCTCTATTATTTTGGGGCGGAGGGCGATGGAAGAGTGAGGACAGATGGCCCAGGAGCACCCGCGGATGTAACACCGAAGGCGTTTGGGGTTGGGAAAGTCCGGTCGCTTCAGCATTGTTGGGTCGAAAGCGGCAGAGAAGCGAGGCAAGGCGAGCGAGGAATGCACTTGCAGAAGAGTGAGGGTGGGCACCACCCGTTGCGGAGGACTGACAACACAGAGGTCTAAATACGAACTCATTAACAGAAATACGGATGACGCACATCATCATCGGCTTCCATGCCGTCAACAAATCGTGGTGAAAGTTCATCGACACCCCAAAACTCATCGTGACATCGCGTGGTACCAGCCTGGAATGCTACTGTTATTTAATGGATGAGAAGACTTGGGAACACATCATGTACCTCCAAAAATGAGTTGTCGCTAAGCGAGGAGCGGGGGGTGCGCTCTATTCCTGGCCCGCTTGAGGTTCTGTTTGAGCAGCAAACATGGTCAGTGAGAGAGTTGGTGATATGCTAACACCTACAATATTAGTACCAGTAATTGATAGGTCTTCAAGGTCAGCTTCCTTGAGAATAGCGTGAATGTCCCATGCGCAAACAACATCGCCACTAACCAGTGACTAGCACTTTTCCATCGGTGGAAAGGGCTAAGCACGTCACTCTCCCTTTGTACTGGAGGGGAGATCCGACTGGGAGGTTTCTGTCGAGGTTCCACAGACGCGCTGTATCATCATCTGATGCACTTGCAAGGAAGCGGTCGTTCTGAAACAAGGTGATGGCGTTGACAAAGTCTGTGTGACCCTGGAGGATGGCGATCTAGTCCCGAGTGGCAGTGTCGAATATCCTAATTAGGCCATTTAAAACGGAGATAAACTTCTTTCCATCTGATGTCCAGGCCAAGCTCTTAACGCAATGATCGTGTTAGAGTGTTGTGAGCAATTCGCCTGTCTCTTTTTTCTTGAGCAATTCTCTCGTTTTGCCATCCCAGATTTGTACTCTGCTGGATCCCACCGTCGCAAATTTGGTTGAGTCGGGTGAGTATATTGCCGCTGACACCCACAGGCTCTTGGTCAACATTGGGCCCAAGACTGTTTCGCCGCTCTTGACATCACATACTCTTGCTGTCCCGTCCAAGGATCCACTCACAACTCGATCACCATCTGCACACTAGCACACCGACAACACACTTTCGGTATGCTCAGTCCGTCTGTCAATGACCTTTCCTGTCTTGACATCCCACAACCTCACCGTCCCACCATCACATCCGCTTGCCACAGTGCTGCCATCTGGAGACAATGCTATTATGACCACCCTTACTTTAACCACACCATCTCGCCAGTTATTGCCGATCTGTTTCCCGCTCTCCAGATCCCATAGTCGGAGTGAGCCGTCATATGAACATGTGATGATACGTCGTCGTTCGTCAGGCAGGTGCACAACATCTCTTACATATTCGATATGGCCTCGCATCATCTTGTATGGTATTATTTCTGCAATGTCTTCTATCTCGATGGTGGGGGAAGATATGGTCGGCGTTCAGCGTATCGACGTCAGCGACGGCAGGTCGTGAGCTATGTATGCACGAGAAATGTGGTGCGGTCTTTTGGTTAGGACGGGTTATCTGGTAATGGCTGGTGAGTCGGCGGGGCTACTTCATGTCCTCAATACAGGCGTGCCAGGCATTGTTTACGAGACAACTTGCTTACAGGATTTTAATTCTGACCAAGGTCGGCTTTGGGACTATGTATACCGACGTCCTCAGAGATCTGTAGGAGATCTTTGCTAGGATCCGCTAGTGAACGAATGCTCGACATCGTCTGGTAGAACAGTCCAAAGTATTACTCACGAGAGCCACCAATGTTAATGCGCGTTCACGCTGCTGCACCGATGAGAGAGACAAACCGTAAGTTGGGATGGTGGATGTTTAATTTGAAGTTTGGCCAAAGGGCTTCTAGTCGTTCTATTCCGGTTCGGGCGGGCGATCAGTCGCTGTGTGTCTATTTCCAGCATATCACAAACCCCAGTCTTCATCTAGGGGTGTTATCCCGTTCGGCCACTATCACTTACTACTGGTATCGTTATCCAGAATTGGTGGGTCTGTGAAGGGCTAACGCAAGAGGAGGGAGGTGGTGGAATTGCAAGAGTACCCGTCTGCCATTCGCTGGCGCAAATAACTACCTGGCAAGGAGTCCAAAAGATGATGGTGTATCGTGTATTCCCGGTTCCGAGAGTAACGTTCAGGTAGACATATACTTATTCTCAGATCAAAACTTTCTGATAGACCCATGTAATGGTCATACAGACGACCCAGATATCAGGACCTGTAGACCGCGATCAATGCTTCCTTTTAATTGCAGTGTGTTACCACAGACAATCAAATTAAACCGTCTCTCTAATATCCATTACTTACTAGGTGCTTTTATAAGTATGTGTATAGTGGAGATAAAGTTTACACGAGCTGCAGTGCCACTTCATTTACCACAGGATTGCACTCTCTCATTCGTATACCCACCACAGACATGACGCTCACAACCTTATCCGAGCTTAGTACAACTTATACACGTGCAACATATTAGACATAGACACACTACTCCAAAAAACATATCACTACTTGTCAAACAACTACACACCAGATGAAGCTGTTCTATCTTACATTCCTTCCGTGGTCATTGATGCTCGACAAGTCCCCAAATTTGATTGGCGCCAGGCCAGCTGCCCCAAATCTGAACTTTCGTGTGGTTTGCCGAATTTCCGTAGTCAAGGTCTAAGCTAAAATTAGTGCCGTGGACCAATATCCTGCCGAACAAAAACAACGACATAAATTCACGACCAGACATGCACCACCATATGAAAGTTATGCGTACCTAATGCCATGGACACCTTCGACGTCAGAGACTTTGACATCCCACTTGAAAGGGGACGGAACAGCGACGACCCTGGTGCCGTTATAGGCGTTACCTTCAATTCCAAGGTATTGTCCAGAGCGGGAAGACTTGATAAACCAGCCGTTCTGGTCACCATCACGCTGGAAGATCCACTGCAAACCAAGAAGCTAGTTAACACATGGCCTGTCCCTGACGGGATTATAAATTACCGCCTGGTTGGAACCATCATGGGGATAATAACCAATGACTATGTGTATGCAATATTAGCGATACCCCTGTGGCCTGGAGTGAGGTTAATGTTTACTGGTGTGGTTATCACCACCCGAGAGGTCGATAGCAGTGCCTCCCTGACGATTTCTGAGGCTGTAAGTGTGCTGATCCTCAATGGAGACCCGCTCGGTAAGTACCCAAATCTGATTGGAGCCATGCCAGCTGCACCGAAGCCGAACTTCCGTGTGATTTGCCGAACTTCCGTCCTTGAGGTCTAAGCTAAAATTGGTGCCATGGGCCAATATCCTGCCAAATAAAAAATCACGACCAGACATGCACGGTATGAAAGACATGCACACCTAATGCCTTTAGCGTTTTCAAGGTCGGAGTCTTTGACATCCCACTTAAAGGGGTTCGAAACAACAACAACCGCAGTGCCATCATTGGGGCAGCCTTCGACTCCAAGATATTTTCCAGAGCGCAATGACTTTATGAACCATCCGTTCTGGTCGCCATCCTGCTGGAAGATCCACTAAGAACCGAAAAGCTAGTCAGTACGACCTGTCCGCAGTGGGATGACAAGTAAGCGCATTACCGCCTGGTTGGAACCATCGTGGGGGTGATAACCGATGACTAAGTTAAGGCAATATTAGCACTGGCTTGGGATTTTCCTAAAAGCGAGAATGATATGCTTACTGGAGTAATTATCACCACCCGAGAGGTCAACAGCAGTGCCTCCATAAGAGTTTTTCAAGCTGTATGTGTGTTGGTTCTCGATGCGAATCATTGTAGTGCGTCCTAAGAATGCTGTTAGCTTCAAGTTGAACACTTGTACTTATACCAAGTACTTGCCTGGAGGATATGTCAAACTTAGACATGTATCTCGGCCCATGACATTTCCGAGTTCCCGTACCCGGCGCATACCTTCCAAAACCTTACTCGCTCAAAGTTTTCATTGCATTCACATCGAAAGGATCTTTCCTTTTTCTCATGTCTCATTATCTCTTCGCGCGCGCCATCACGTCTCCTGTCATTCTTTTGTTTGCACTCTATCTTTCCTTCGTTGGTATAGCCGTTTGCACCGGTCGTCAAAAATAAAACGGGATGGCGTTTATTTGAATTGCAATGTTCGATCAGGAACCACGAATTTCTGTGCATGTAACGTTCTACAGTGGTATGAATGCGATTGATTGCGATTGGAATTTGATTTAACTTCTTGCCGACTTATGTTTTCTTTTTTAGGACTGGCCTAGTATTTCGCAAACGGCTGTTGTACCTGTTCGTTATTACTACTATCGTCGCTGATGTGGGGCGTAGTCGTCGGATGGTTTGGTCACACTGAATGGTGAATTAATCACGAGAGAAATAACATCAAGAATTACCAAAGTCAAAGTTTACCGGACTGGAAAGGTTATGGTATGACGCACATAATTGACGATCTGCCATAGTTGAGCCCCCGAGCACTAACGAGGTCATGCCCTGCGTGCGCAATGAGCTCGATCATGTTGCTGCAATCATGAGTTATAGGCACCGAAGGTACCTGCGGTGTGAGTGAGACTTGTGCAATGCATCGTACTAGATAATATTTGCTAACCAGAGGAACGTTTCAAAAAGAATGAAAGTGAAGGGGCATTCTCTCCTTCGCTCGTGTAGACATTCATTGCACTGTACTATGAAATCCAAGCGACCCGTCTTTAAAGCAATGTTTCAGAGTCTGAGAGCAAGATGTCTTCTACCGACAACCTTGGAATGTCGACGACAGATCCGATTAAGTAGCTTCGTCTTGAGATTTGTCCGTGTGCCATGTCTCTACGAATCTGCGTATCAAACGGGTATGTAGTAGACAAACAATTAGAAACGAGATCACCGTATGGGTGATGATAGGACGTGAATCCGCGCCTACTGCACCTGGTGTGAGTATCGAGGTGGGTCCATGGGCTGCCTGGGTGACCATGTTTAGCCTCGGGTCGTGCATCCCCTATATCACCTGCCCATACAGCGATGAGATAACGGCTCTCTATGTGGTGCAATGACTGTGGTCAGTAGCAGGAGACGCGTGACAGAAAAACAACACAACATAAACCCACCATTTAAGTTTCTGGATACATTCTGGATGAAGCCTCAGTGGCGGCGGCGGCGACGGCGGAGCAACATATGCTTGCAGAAAAATGTCGGACCGCAGAGAGTAGAAAAACATGCAAGAAAGACATACCCCTTTGTTCTGTACTGTAGCAACTGCGAGACTACGGCATGATGAAAAACAAAATTTTGCCTTGAAGGTTGTTGGAGTTGCGGTATCTCATCGTTGTTGGTATGATGACGAGTCACGGACCCGCGTGAACACTATCTGGGGTGTCGTCAGTTATGTACCCCTGCATGAGTAGACGAGTATCCTCAAGCTGAGCTGAACCCTACATATGATCTCCCTAGAATTTTCAGCACTCGTATTAGTTACATTCATCAAAAAAAAAAAGCTCGCGGGACGTACGTTTGTTAACGACTTTTCAGCTGCGAGCTGCAAATGAGATTCAGCTAAAGTGGCCTCTACCGAAGAGTTAAACTCACATTTTGAATAGGCAATAGGTCTTCAAGGGCAACTTTTTCGAGGATAGCCCGAATATCCTTTGTCATTGCCAGTGACTAGCACTGTTTCATCATCAACAGAAAGGCCTGCGCATTCAACTCTCTCATTGTACCAGGGGAGGTCCGACTGGGAGTTTTGTGTCGAGACTCCAGAGACGCGCTGTTTTATCAACTGATGCACTGAGGAGGGGAGGCGGTTGTTCTGAGACAATTGGATAGCGATCTCTGAAGTGGCTGTGTCGAATAACCTAATTAGGCAATATAACGTAGTTTCTTTGTTGACGCGTCCAAGCCAAGCTGGGTGTTGTGAGCAGTTCGTCTGTCTTTGCATGCCGGGTATTCTCGCTTTCTCCGCTCGTCGCAAATTTTGTTGAGTCGGGTGAGTATATTACTGTTGTCAACCAGTGCTCAGGCTGGTCTTGATTTCCAGGACTGTTTCACCGCTCTTGATATAGATATCCCATACTCTTTCTGTCCCGTCGTTGGATCCGCTCGCGACTCGTTCAGCATTCGGACCCCAGCACACTGCCAACACACTCTCAGGCCGCTCAATGTGCCCATTTAATGATGGCTTTTCCCTTTCCTGTCTCCACTTCACTGCCCCACTATTGCTTCCGCTTGCGACAGTGCTGTCGTTTGGACCTCGTCAGTCATCACCTCCAGGCCCCACGACTGCAGTGAGCCGTCTTTCGATCGAATATGCGATGACACGCCATCGTTCGTCGGGCAGTTGCACGACACCGTTCACCTTGCCAGCATGACCTCGCATGAGTCACATCGTCTGGTATGGTATGATTGTTGCAATGTCTTCCATCTCAATGGTGGGGCAAGACATGGTCGACGCCCGGGGGATCGACGTCACCGACGGCAAATGCCTACTTTATGTCGTCAATACAGCTTGCTTACAGGAATTTAATTCTGACCGATCAGCGGCTTTGGGACTATGCTTGACACATTTCAGGTACGTGGGAACACATGCTTATTTGATCAACGCTCAGGCTATAGACAGTCACCCGCCCGGTGACATGTGAACTTCAGCTCCCTGCAATGTTCTTTCAGGAGATTTCATAGTTGCGGGGCTTCTTTTCATCTCCTATGGGATCGGTGCTACAGGTGTGTACACCTTTCGCTATGATGTGCGGATTTGTATACGATCAACTGTTCTAACTCTGCTATCATTGATGGGCCTTTTCGGAGTTAAAGATGGGTAAAATGCAAGTCCAAGGCAGGATCCGGCGTGTTAGTTAGCGACTGTCTCTTGCATCCAGGTCCGTTGTTCGATTTTCTTACCTGCTGTCCGCTCATGTCATATGTCGGTGTTCGTGTGCATCGATTGTCATTAGCGCACAGCCTTGCGGTATTGCGCCCTTGAGACATCCTTCAATGTTGCGTCACAGATCATTTAGTTTTTTTATACTTTCGAATCTGACGTTGAGCCCATCCTGCGAGACACAATGCCACCTCAATGTGACATTTTACCCCGTTCTGTCCACTGGTGCCAGTCTCATGGTACGCATTTCTTGTTGTGTTTCCGGCATCTCGCCAACTTCACCTATTACCGCAAAATGTTCACGACATTCTGGAAGACGATTGCAATGCGTTCATTGAAGAATTCCTGACCCTTCATTACGCAAGACGTACCTTCCTTATTTGCTTCTGCTGCGTCTTTAGCATCTTTCGCATCAAGACTATGTGATTTTTCTAGCGAGGTCCTCATCCGTTTGTGCTCGCGATGCAGCAACCCTGCAGCCAGGGGCAGGGCATGTCAAACAAGGTTCATACTTGCGAAAATTGCCTGTATCGTACATAACCTCCCCGTAAGCAGATCCAAATATAATCAATAACAGACCACACATTCGTGGTTGAATTGATGCTCCGAGTGGTACCTACGTAGTTGTGCTAAGGCATGCCATGAGCGTGACATTCAGGACTACTCATGTAAACACAGCATGTGTGAGCTTATGTGGACTATTTTTGGGGTGATTGGAAGATCGGATTCCTGGCTGCCTTTGTCTATATGCACAAGTAAGGACGTACGACTCGCATCATGTTTGACTGAGCTTACAGTAGGCTGCATACCAATCTCCCGGCAATCCTTGTACCATTACAGGGTATTCGTGATAATACACCTGGCCATGATGTAGCTTGTGATGACTATGTAGGCTCAGCTACACAGACGGTATTCATACACAGATTTATTGCATTTATTAGTGTAGGTTACTCCTTAGCACGACTCATCGCATCATCGAAACAAGCGCGAGTACTTCACCTCAACAAAATTACGACTCATCGCCCGACTCGGATGTTCAGATTCTTGACAACATCACCTCCTTGTATG